TCATACGGCAAAAAAGTCTATTAACTGGCAGTTGACCTCTGACTTCAAACTTCCATAACCCCACTGTATGTCATATTCGACCCCTTTCACATTACTCATCTAGCCTATTCTCTGCCTTTGTGTCTGTCTGTCTGTTACATCTGTGAATAGCTCTTCTTTTCCCCTGTCGAATTTTTCTCACTTTAATGTTCCTCCCTTCTGTGAAGCCCGAAGTCAACTAAATGGCTAATGATAACTATAAAAATGCCTGCTATTTGACAAATATTTCAGGCCTATTAACGCATGTGCATAGAGAATTTGATATCGGCCGAGGTCAGACACGCAGTAAACGCTTTATGGAAGATCTTATTTTCTACCAAATATGGTTATCCTAAAAAAATAAAATTAAAATCATGAGCTCTGCCAAATGCCCTTGAAATGTGTTTCGTTTAAGAATCAACTTTGTTGACAGACTTCGAGTTGAATTAATTTTCAACAAAATACGTGTTATCGCACTTCATTGATTTGGAGTATTATGACTGCAAGTCTTTTGGCTTTCAAGAATATATATATATATTTGAATTAATTCTGAAAATAGGAATAAATATTTAATTCTAAGTTAAATAATGTACTTACTGAAAATAGGAATAAAATATAACAATACAATCTCCCAGAAAATGAATATCCTTCAAGAAATGAAGTCCGACTTAATCCAAAATATGTCTCTATTTATGCAAATAAGTGTAAAAGTCATCTACACTAAAACAATGCAGCAAAATTCGTATTAAAATATTTTTTCATTAGTTATCAAGAAATCTAAGAATACTTGCATCCTTTTCTTCCTCGGTGGCCTCTTTGTCATGATTCTTAGGAGCGAATCGGTGATAGTGATGTATAAAGGCAATATCTACTGTATTGCTGGGTTTAATTACAGCAGTTTCTTCATATGGTTTGCTTATATGGTGAATACCCATTTCAAATATTGCATTAGGCCGAACAAGACACTTTGTTCGAATGCTGTCAATTTTACTCGATCTTATCAAACTTTTGCCCATTCCACTGAGGGATTCTCTGAATCGTAATGCCGGAAAGCAGATGCCTGGAATTTTTTTGTCTGTCCAGATTTGGTCAACAAGTTTGCTCCAATTTGAGATATTGGCGGAATGAGGAATTAATACTTCATCGAGGTCTCCAAAAAACGCATACTCTGTGTCATATAGACTCCGAAGCAAACAATCATTCACCGTCATTGTTTGAAGGTAATACCAGGATTCATGGATGACGGCTATATTATTTTCTTTCCAGTAGAGAGGATGAAATTCAACCTCCGCTTGATCCCTTATTGATGTAAATATCCTCTTCACCGCATTCGGAATCATCTCACTGTAGTACATCCGAAATTTAGTGACACCAAGTCGAATATTTACCTTGAGCCAATCTGCTAAAAAGATTGTGTTTAATTTTGTTATATGATGTAAAGCAGGGACGCAAACTGTAAATTTATGCTTGAACTGAGTGTTGATCGACATTTTGGAAGGCAGTGTATTTATTTTGGAAATATTAGCATGAAGAACTGGCATGGATACCACGCCAGAATCTGAACCGTCGGCATATATTCGAACGCCTTTTGTGAGATTGGCAAGTGGAGGTACATCACAATGGACTGAATATCCTCCGTACAACCTCTGATGGTTTTCTGTCAGTTCGTAAAAAGAGAATGACTTTCCATGCAAATCTCTACTAGAAACTGATGTTCCATCATTAAAAAGGCATCTAAGTTGAGTTCGATGTCCACGTTTTTTGACCAAGATTATCCTCAAGACTCCGTTAGTGTGTCCATCTTGAGATCGGAATTCGGTTTGATTATCGCTGAGTCGTCTGTCAAGAAAGACGCTGAAGATTGCTAAATTTGGATATGTGCCAATTTGATGTAGACTGTTTTCAATTGAAGGAAGCCTTGGAAGTGAGTAGGACAAGAAAAACTGTCTGTGGGACTGAAATTTCGGGGAGTTGAATACAAGGTATACAAGAAGGAAGCAAAATTGAAGACCCACTATCCCGAGCAGAAATTTGCGTTGCTTTCGCATCGACGGAGTAATTGAACGCACAAGGATTAGGCTTGATATTTGGCCGAGCTCCGCCTGTGTACAAGGCCATAACAAGCCCTGACCAATCAGCGAGAGAGGAAGAGCAGGATTGGTAAATTTGAGAGCGAATAGATTTTAGGCGAGCGCTCAGTGAGCTAACAGTGAGCAGAATCTCGTAGAGCTTCGTTTTTCTGACTAATGGCGGAAAGGTTCTAGTGCTGTAGAGACAATTTTTAGCGCGCGAATCACTGTTAAATCTTCGTAGATCCGTCTAATGAGCAAATTCAATGAGGACATAGTAAGACGTAAATAAATGTTTTTAATAATTATTTCAACTGAAACTAACTTGTCGCAGCTTTCTAGAGTAGTGAATTTTAATGCTTTGCTAAATTCCAATCAAAAATATGAACGTTCTGAATATAGTAAGTTGAAATTAAAGCAATTTCTCTATAATTTTTAGAGGTAGTTAGATATCCTGATAGTTGATCATTTAACACACCTTCTTAGATTTTTTAAAAAAGGGCTCTTATTATGTCCATGAGAGGGGAATCACTTTCCACTCAGTTCTATATATGCGTATTTCACTATATTATTTAAATAAAATATTTAGGCGGAAATGCGAACGAAGCCCTCTTATGTGATTTTGAAAGGATGAAAAAGTAAAACGCCCTCGTAATCCAGTTGTCATATATATATATATATATATATATATATATAACA